CTGGTATCTCATTTTTCAAACGAAGGGAGAAAATTAGACGCACGAAAGGGAAGAGATTTGAGAGCTAGTGTACCACCCCATTATAAGGGGTAGTACACGAAATATTTCAGGAAGCGTGCATAGAAAAACAGTCATTTCAGAGAATGATTGCGAATGCAAACTGTCAACGTGTTTAGGATACGTTTCCAGCCCGTGATTCTGCATTTCTATTCATGAACCATATTCGCGTAGCACGGTATTCCGAAGCGATATTTCGCGGAATTAAAATACAAATAAAGTCCCGAAGCCGAGTATCCCAGGTTGGCAGAATATTTCTCCAATTATCCCCCAGAGACACGAAACTCTTCGCCTCGCGCCTAAAATTCAGGCTGCCCGTGCACGGATAGCCGTGAGAGGTCCTAGGAAAAAGAATCGACGAGGACGGTGTCAAATCTTGCGCGATTCCGCGCGGAACGGAAGCGAGGGAGCGCGCGGTCGTTCCGGCTGAACTGCGGACCCGTAATTTACCGGGCGTTTTTAGCCTGGCCAGTCCCGTTGGATGGATGGATAACGAGAAAAGTTTTTCGCTCGGGACGCCTGCTGGCCTTTACATTACGCGCCGCAACTCGCTCGTTTCTCGTCCTGGCTCGCTCCATTTCGCGCGATTCGCTGTTACAAGAGGGAAACGTCGCGGTGTCAATCGTTTCGCTACGTCGCCTCGTCTCGCTGATCTGTAAATACGAACACTCGCGGGGCAAGATTTACAGAAGCCGGCTCGATTCCTGTTAATTCTTGCCAAATCCGTGATCGCCATTTTTCCACGGATAGAGAGAACGCATCGTACACGTTGAAATGAACGTAGGAAATTTATGACGTGGTCTGAAAGGGGTGGAAGGGTGCAAGAAGACCCAAAAAATTCAAGAAGGGACGTACCCTGCCGAGCGTACACCCTCGGGTATTTCTAAAATAAAGAAGAGAAATATTTTTTTAACTTCTCTCGCGATACGTCGAGCTTTATTTTTCCCGCGCTTTAATTTTTACCCAGATCCTCCTAATTCAACGGTACAAGTTTTAATAATGTAACGATACAACGATGGAGAAATAAATAAGCGGAGAGTAGAGGGCTGATTTATACGCGAAGAATTTTCTATTTATTTCCCGAGCTTCGTAGGGCTATTTCTTTATATAAGTTCCTTTGAGGATTAGCGAATAATTTATAGCGCCTATCCACGAGCCAGGATGTGGTTTCCGTTATTTATAAGAAGATTTAGAAGTGGAAGGATTATTTTGATTTAACTTTTCCCGCTGCACTTTATTACCTTTTCAGGAGCACAAAGTTTCAATAGACTCGAGCCTCGCGTTTTGGAATAAAGTCGGTAATCGGGGAATTAAATTTATCTGGATCAATAACCGCGGTATCGCCTTCTGCAATTTCGCGTACAGACCGGAAATATTCGAGGAACGAAAAGTGTTATCCGGGACACGTAATAACCAACGACATCGCGTTGGTAGTACGTTGCGATTAAATTCGAAGATATTCTCGTCGATAAAAATTCCCGAGATCGAATGACCACAGGAAACGGTGTAACTTCTTATCCGCCATCTCGAGAGAATTATCGAGCGAGCCTCGAGTGTTCCGCATAGTTCCGTACGTAAAAAGGCAGGACTTAAAATTTGAAAATCGAGATGCCTGAAGGCCCGGTATCGCTTAGGGTTGCGCTGCTTAAACTGGCGAAAGGGGGGTCGCGTAAAAGATGGAATAAAAGGTGCTCGATAACCGGCCGGATACTTTGGCGCGAACGAAATTGGCTGTCCGCTTCCGTCACGATACCGGATTGCCTATAAAATCATTCGACGTCCATCGATCCTTCCCCTTGTCGATATGAATATCTATTAAACGCAATTCACGTCTACCGGCCGACGTGGCGATTGTCGCAGTAAACGTCAGGTAGACGTCGTTTTTGCTGATTGACGTCGCAAAAATGCGACGCGGATATTTCGTTTCTAAATGATGGACGCGACAACGCTGATGTTTGAAAAAAAAGAAGAAATAAAGGAAAATATCCTTTGAAATGCCCAGCTTTTATTCCGTAGGCACAGTGGAGATATCGACTTCGACTCGATATATCGAGATAATAAGGTAATTGATACTGTTATTAAATAACTGACAAATATTTGTTAGATAATTACCGAATAGAGGTAGAAAATCGGATTATTAAAAATTAAAAATTAATATCGAATATCACGACTGTAGCAAAATTTTTCCATCTCTAAACTCTGTATATTTATATTTTTAATTTTGCAGTCGCAGCGTATGTCATTTTATTCCCGTGATTATTTTTAATCAGTGATCTGTAATTAGACCCATTTTTTCTCTCATATAAGTATATATTTTTACCTCCAAAGGGTATTAAAAATACTGTAACGCGGATATATTATGAAAAATTTGACTAGAAAATCGTAAATGTAGTTATGATTTACATAAGTTTATAAACTTTTAAATATTCTGTTAATAACAAATTAGTATTGTCATTAATAAATTGTTTTGAACAAAAATTTATAACAAAAGTGAAAGAAATTTATAAACCATCGATTATTACAGTCGAAAGATAATTATGAAGAAAATCGGGGACGATGGGAAATTTTCGGCCAATTTCGGGGGTCGGCCGACGCCTATATAAAGGCCGCCGCGCGATTGTTCGATTCATTTGTCAGTTTGAGTTCGGACGAGACACATCCAAATTTTCATCAGGACGGGTCGGGGTGGGAGTGTGGTGCTTAATGGTCATTGGTTAGACCTTTGACTAGCCAATAGCCACTGTCCACTCCACCCACACGCCACCCTCCTTGTTTAATTTAATAATTTCTTTTTCTGATTTTATTTATTTTTTTTTTTATTTCAGATTTTAATTTTCTTTTTCATTCATTTCTATTTCAAAATTCAAATATTTCGTATAATATACGAATGTTTCATCTTTGCTTTGTTCATGTCTCACCATTGGATTGGTCGCTGATTGGGGTAGTCAGTGGACATTATCCATCACACTACCCTCAATTTTTTGTCAATAAATACATTTTGAATGAAACTCTGTTTTCAGATTTGACTCGTTCATTTCTATTGATCAATTAGAAAAATAGAAAATAATTTTAAACATATGGAAATTCGTCGAAAAATAATCCAGCACGTAAGGGGGCCGCGCGAAATAAAACTTTTATCCGAATTCCATTTCGAAACAAGGGTTGAACAGGATCGTCGAGATCGGGGGAAACGAAGAGAGCAGCCCCTGAAAATACAGCGAGACGCGAAGCAAGCACTCGTAACATCTTCGGCACGAGGGATCGGGAAAAATCGGTTTCGAGGTCAACCCCTATCCCGACTACCATCACGGTTCGTTTCGCCGATCATAACCCCCGAGACGGATAAAAACGAATAAAAATCCGCGGCGAAAAACGTAAGACGCTCGCGATCGAGGGTAGAAGAGCGGAATTTTTCGGCAACCCATCCTCGCGCACTCGGATTCATATTTCCAATGCATCGGATATTCAAACTCTCCTCCTAGCCCGGCAACCATTTCGTTCGATAGTTTCCTACCCCACCCACGAGGGATGGTGTGCTTCGCCGCGCCGCTAAAATGGCAGAAATCGATGTACTCAAATATTCCATGAATACCGCGGCAAAGATTTCCGAGCTTAAACGTAACGCGATAGTTATCGCGATGGCGAATTATTTATTCGATCGCGTGCTCCATGCCCGAGACACAGCCAATTTCCCTTTCTTTGCCCACGATCCGGCCACTTCCACCGATTTTTAACGCCTTAACGCGAATTTTATTCCCCCGGCTTGATCCAGTCTCCGGCACACGACCCGCGTTACCACGAGTCCTTTGAGACCCGAACGTGTACCAGGGTTATATACCCAGTATGCAAACCAGCTGATCGTATGATCGATCCTCTACACCGTGTTTTATTTTCATTTTTTGGCAAGCGAGTGCAGAGAGCCTCGTCTATGTTGGCGTTCGCGGTGTACCCGATGCTATCGACTAGACGACGTTCCTGTCTGGGTTGACTCGTGAACTTTGAACCTGCAAGATTTTTCGTCGAGAAGTGTGGTCGACGGTGAAAGGTCTTTCTTGGATCTTATTCGATATCCAGTTGACGACCGTAGAGCAAATTTGTCGTCGTTTGCTCAACGATTACCGATATTTAAGTCAAAGAAGAGTGAGTATATTTTGAGACACGGAAGATAGACGTGGCATAGCACGTTTGCTTTAGCTACGACGAGCTGGATGTAAAAGGAAGGTTCAATCTCGAAATTTGAAAGTTGCAGGACTTTACCTCTGCGCTATCGTTTGCCTTTATTTTTCGACTCTTTTATCGGCGACGCTGTTCTTCCATGCAGTCACTCTGTGTCTTATTGAGAACCACGTTTCTGAATAAATCAAAATCGACGAAATTAAAGCGTTCTACTGATCACGACAGAGAGTAGTCGAATTTTCAAACAGTATTTCGAATATTTCTCAGGTTCCACTTTCTGTACTACCCTTTACCCAGAGAAGCTCCATTAATTTCTCAAGATTCGTTCAATTTTTCAGACCGAATTGAACTTTAAATCCCTACAGCGAGTTTCAGAAGATATTTGTTTCTTAAATTCTACTTTCAAAAATTTCACGTTAAAAAATACAGAAATATAGAATGAATACGAGACAAGTGTCGCAAATTAATTTTAGATAATTAAATTAGATATTCGATGAATTTAGAGCGACTAGGCGTGTTGCCAAAGTTATTTATTCATCAACTTGTATATCGTTTCGTGAGCTGCAGCCTCGAATGATACTACGAAAATATACCAGAGGCGTGAAAAATGGATAAAATAGTTCGATCCATTATTATCACGTAACACGATCTCTTTGCACGAAATATTCTGGAGCCGTTCTCCAAGCCTCGAGAAATCGATATTCGGCTAGCCCACGGCTCGTCTGTTCGGACGAATGACTTGCCGAGAGAAGAAAATCGATACATACCTGAAGAATCCCACGTATTTGTCCGCTCTTGGTCTCGATGATGCGCGAAGCGTAGCGGATCTGCGTGGCAGCTCGCAATCCCTCGCGGCCGATCAGCGCGAGGATTATAATCAGCACGAGGCAGCTTCTCGATCTGCTCAAGGACCTCGTGGCCAGCGGCCTCTTCCTGGCCGCCGGCTGGCATGGCAAGAGCATGACAGCATTTGCTGGCGGCCACTCGAAGCGACGCCAGCAGCATAACCGTGGAACGCGACTTCAGCCACGGCCTCGAAGGTCTGCTCACCGCTTGCTCAAGTCACCTCTCCACTTCGCTTGAACCTGAAGACAACCAGTCGCTGCATTAACTTCACTGGCTTGATTATGCGCGTATTCGTAATTCACGATTTATTATTTGATTTTACTTTCCAAGTGTTTCGCGCAGTAAGGATCTGACGGTGGTACTGAGACCTTCGCATGAAAAATCTGCGGAAAATGTATGGAAAATTTATGTAAAATTTGTGCAAACAATTCGTCATCCACGCGATCGTTCCTCGAATCCCAAACGCGAGATCCTCTTTACCCCAAGAAATGCAGGATTTATCCGAAAAGATAACCCCAGGCTAACCCTTCCGTATGTTTCATAACCCAAGAAGATTGCATGGAGACGTACCTCAGCCGTCACCGGAAGCGACACAACGTTCGAGGTATTTTCAATCAGCAAAGCGGGTCCCGAGCCGTTTCGTAGGCCATGCAACGTTCTTCGTCGACGAATCGCTTGGTAACTTCGTTATGCAAAACGTCTAGGAGTGGTTGCAGCTCGCGTGGCCCGCGGCGAGACCCAGCCAGCCACTCCCGCTTCCTTTTCCCCTGTTTCTGGCCTCCTTTCACGGCCCTCTCTTTCGGTTGTGCAAGTTAAATTGCACTCAAAACATCCCTCGAACGGAAGGGAACACGGCCCAGCCTGAATACCTTCGACTTGTTTCCATGAGAGTTTCGCTGGCCTGCAACGCTGCTCGGTTCTCGTTGGAACCGACGCGGCTGTTCCTGAATCGCTAAAACCGAGCGATCTGAAACCGAGAGAAGGCCAACGTGAGTCCGGTTCCACGTAGCTCAGGGGTTAGGAACGGTGGATAATGTTGGTCAGGGGGTGAAACCAGGGTTGAGAGGCTTGATCAGAGGGTTGGCCTGAGGGAGAAGCAAGTTTTCTCGGAGCAATCAGTGCCTCGCCACCGCATCACCCCCGACTAGGATACACCTCTAGCTAGCAGCACCACGCTACTTCCTACCGTCTCTGTTTCCTATGTTTTTCTTACCAAGGCATCGGCAATTCGAGACCCGGGATAACGCGTGATCAGATTCTCAATGAAAGTCGAGGTTTCCGGTAACCGCGTTGGATATTCCTCGCTATGGCGGAGGGAACGGACTTGACTTAATAGCGCTCTGGCTGAGCGTGCATGTAGGCTTGCCTGGCTACCTTTCGCGCTGCCGAGGTAAATCTTTAAAGCGGACAATCTGCCGGGAATCGTGGCGGAAGATTAGACGAGCCTCGAGCGAAATGGCAAGATTGCCCTGTACCGGATGCTTCCATCCCCTGCCGTGCAGCGATTTAAATTTTTCTCCCTGATCCCACGCCAGTGTCTCGCGATGGATATCGGTGAAACTTGGTTAAGATTCGTTTATTTATCATTCTTATTTTCTTTCTTTTTTTTTTTTTAAATACGTGTCACGTATTTTTAGTTTCGAGATATCGGGGTGTGGAAATCCCATTGTCGAATGAATTAGATTTTTCGAGAATTGAGATGACGGAATTAGCCACGAAATTAGCATACGCATTGGTAATCGGTGAATTTAGATCGATTGTTTTTGGTCATACGTGTGTTTCGAATCGTATAATAGGGGAAAGGTTTGTAAATTGATCGATCGCAAATGCAGAGTGTACGGAACAAATATATCCGCCACGCGTTTATTAGCCACGTACCAATAAATGAAACCTGAAATACACGTTACACGGAAATTATTAATTGTTTTCAATGTCCGTGGTTGAACGGGGAACGAATTTTAACTGAATTGTAATTGCAATTACCAGCTCCGAACTAAATAGGTTTACACGCTATTTACGAAATCTCTTGCCTCGGTTTTATCCACGTTTTTCTCGTTGCCTTTGAAACTTTATCATCTCGAAATCATTCAATCACTGTGCAATTGAAACAAAACATTGAGAAAAAATTAAAACGTTGAAAAAATAATTCTTTTGTTACATTTTCCAAGCATAATTGTCAATATAATATCAGAAGATGGAAGTTGGAACAGGATGTCAATAATATAACCATGTGTTTATAACGAATAATATACATTTGATTAGAGATCTATTGCACGTGAGTATTATACACCGTACCCACGAAGGCCTACCATATTCACAATATAACAAATAATTATATTACGCAGAAACTGCGTAAACAGATTATGTTCAACAGCAAATGCACACTGCGAAAACATTGACTTTTCTAAAGTATCGTTATGCTCATTTAAGGTATCTATTTCAAGGCTCAACTAGACCTCAACCATTTATTTATTAAGCTTTTCTTTTGTTTGTTTCTCCTTTTATTTAATTATTCCTTATTCCATTACTTTCTGTACTACTATACTACTACGTTAATACTGTATATTTCATTTTACTATTTTTATTGTACACCAAAGGACTTCTATCCGTTAATAATAAAATATTATTATTATTATTACTATTATTATTATTATTAGTTTCAAGGGTTGCCAACACGATTTAGCTCTTTAAAGCGCGAAGTATGAATTGAATATAAGAATATATAATATTTCAACGATAATAATTTAAAAAATACAAGTATAAAACAAAGGATTGAACGAGTTCTCAAATTTTCCAGTGAGTAAATTAATAGCATTTAAATCTTTCCTTTCCGATAATTAAAAAAAGGAATGTACAGCTAGTACGACTCGAGGAGGTCGTAAAATTGTTTGAAATCATTTTGGTTCTCGATTTCGTGGTTGTTGCGTGCTCATTGAAAGTGCAGATAAGGGCGTACCGTGAGGGGTGGATTCGAGTATAAAGAACGAGGGAGAACACGATTCGAAATCGTTATTCATGTCGCTAACGAAACGATTTGTCAAGTTTATCGGTAACGTAACTCCTCGTGAGGTCTTTCGAGCCTCGTCCAGCGATAAAAATTGTCGCGTGTCCCGTTCGCGTTATTTAACGCAGTTCTGAGTTTCCCCGAACAACGTACGCGAAATTTACTATTAATCGCGTAGCGACGTTTTTCAATCGCACCATTAACGGTTAAGCACAACGTGTGCGAATGTCCGAGGCGTAACGCGTTACGGAAAGCAAGATTCTTTGCGAATTCTAATGGATTTCCACGCAAAGAACCGGCATCGTTTCCCAGCCACCCAAAGAACGGAAAAATCTCTTTGACGCTCGCGAAAACAATCTCCTTCACGGCGAGATCGGGCTAATGATCCTCGTTTTCTTGAAAAATACGTGGAAAAGCGCGTATAAAGCGGACACGACTCAAAGCTTTGATGGTGTTTCAGGGTTTAAGGGAATTCATTCTGAAAACATGTAAGTGCGACGGGATATTACGCTCGCAGGCGAAGGCTTTAGTTGTTCAAAGCGAATCTTCATGGGAAAGTCTGTTCCCCTAACTTGGTTCGCATTAGAATCTCCAGCCAGACTGGTACCTTGGTATTCTTCCAACGATACCTCGAATTCTCCTATCGAACTCGGCTCGAGTAAAATCTGGTACAATTTTAAACACTCGCAGTTGCGACTGTATAACTGGTCGCGAAGTAACGGATGCAATTTGGCAATTAATAAATCTGGCAATTTTTCGAATTAATCCTCGCACGCAGCTGAGAGGGCACGACGATGTGTCGTCGATTTCGAACGGTTTAATAAACGATCTTCGTGCAACTCCCAATCGTCGAGCCCTTTTAATTCAATTGCACTCCCATTGGCGCGTCGACGAGCGATCAGAAAGGGAAAGCAGCTCGCCTAACGACCCGATCGAGGGAAACAGGATCGAGGCAGCTGAACGCATTTCCGGCCAAGTCACAGGGGGGACCTGCACCGATCGAGGAATCGAAGTTCCGCTAATTTAATTCCAACTCTCAATTATCGGTCGCGTCGGATTCCCCCGGCGGATCTAACTTTCAACCCTCTGCATCCCCGGACAGGGACGGCTCGAGTGCGCGTAATACAGCCGCGAGATCCCGCACCCGTATTCCGCCACTTTATCTTGGGATTGACGTTTCATCCACGGAAATCGACAGACCGAGAACCAGCGGGATTGCTCTGCGGCCGCGTGCACGCCGGGGAATAAAGGCGAAAGAAACAGCGACAAAATGGTGCAAAGCCCGTGGAAACAACGGAAGAAAGGCGAATGGGAGCGCGAAGATTGTAGTTCTGCGGGGAAATTTGAAGCTGACTCGAAGGAAAGAATGATGGGACTCGGTTGAAGAAGAATGTAGCTTCCGACGAGGATCTTCCTCGGTGTCTACACCTGAGGATTTCACGTTTACGATTAATTTTAACCGTGTAACGTTGCGGTTTCTCTTAAGATAGACAAAGAAACTAGATTTGATCGATGAACACGTTGGCTGCCATGTTGCACCGGTAACCGAAGTTTGTTCTCACAGTGGGACCGTGATAATTATCGAGATTATTTTTATAAACGTCATTTTAAGAGTTGAATTCAGCAGAAATCACGATCTACGAAGGAACGGGAAGGAAACTAGAACGAACAGACAAGAAGAGGGAAAGAAAATGCACTTGCACGCAGCTGGGGATCCTCTTCCTCATCGATCATTTGACTTTATAATCGAGTCGATCTCCTTCAATTACGATGGAATTTCTCGCGGAATTTCGCGCAAACGGAGCCACGATTTGGAGCGAGACGATTCGTACTCGTGTAAATATTCCTCCCTCGTAGTTGGTTCTGGTCGAATGAAGACGTCAGGAGTCTATGTGATAAATGATCTCGAAAACAACGATTTATGCGGAAGGGGATACGATATTTGTCTATCCGGTGTATCGATATATTTATCGCTCGTGTTCGGCCACGATCTCTTTCGTCGAAATTCCCGATTTTGTTGATGAACTTCCATCAGCAGTTTTCGGGCATCATGGGCTCCTTCTGTTTTTTTCACTCTCGAATAAAACGGCAAAGAGATTGGTTAACGTCCGAAAACATTCGATGCAGCGTCATCGTAATTGCGTTACCGTAAAAACGCGATGGCTACACGGTTTTTTTTAGTGTAAACACATTGTTTCTCGATTTAGTTCATTTGCTCCTCTTTTCGATATTTTTTTGCATCGTGAATGGCTCGCAGTTACAATACTACATCCCCTGGACAATTTTGTTTACGAGTATTTTTGGTAATAGTAGGTTACGCGAAACTCATGTAACACTTGTTAGTGGTGGACGATAGCTTAATAACAACAAGAAGAACAATTCTTTATTTAATAAAAAGGATTGTAAAACACCAATATAACATTTAAATATAATTAATTTCGCACAATTACTCAATGACACGACTTCTCGCTATTATATCTCAATTATAACTAACGTATCCGAAATCACTCTTCTTTTTTTTTTTTTTTTTACATTACATTGACATACACAATTCACACACACCTCAATCATTAAACGCATACTCATTTATCATAATAACCTGAATTCATTACATATTCCAATCCCATGCATATACTTGTTCCACTCATCTCAGCACATATATACCTAAAAATCTATGTGACCACTACCACAACACTGAGTTGCTCTCTTCATTGCTAGATTCTTTTTCCAGGCTCTGCACGATGCATCCATTTTCTTTCATCTCCGATTTCGTCTCCCTTACATGGTTTTCTATACTATTCTTCTAAACTTTTTCCTATTGTCATTGCAGTTTTTAACGTAGCAAATTTTTTGCGCATCGAGGAGTATCCTTTCCGTTAAAATTTCAAACAGAATCCCCACAGTGAGATAGAATTACGTCTCTGGCTGTAGCAATGTTTGCCCAAGTCTCGATTTCATCACGGAGAGTGTATCACAGGAAAGTATTATCGAAAGCCTGCGGAGAGCTGATAAATTGTTTGCTACTAATGATCCAGAGTGGACCCAGTTCATGAGTAATTGAAATCAGAACTCGACGCTTGCAAACGCAAATATAGTATTCGGATAATCAGTCGGAGTCGATTTTGAAGGAAATGATCACCGGTGATCTAACAGATACCTCGATTATTAGACGATATATTTATAAAAATAGATAAAATTGAAAGGAACCTTTTCAGAAACGTCGATAGCAGTTACGCGAGAATAGAATTTTGATTGATTTCAGATGCCGATTGTTTGCGAGTCGCAAGTCGTAATTACTGCGGATGCTACGATATGCAAGTGATTTTTCTAGCCCGACTTTTAATATAGCGCCGCGAACGGAAGGATCAAGGGAATTGATCGATGGAATTTTTTCTCGCCAGCTCTGCTCGCTCTTCGAATCGGGCTTTTATACTACAACGGTGGAACGGCGTCGTAAATTACGCTTTAATTAAAATTGAAAGGCTCCGATCGTTGTACGCAATTCCATGGGGGAGAAGAACTACAGCACTGTAACAGCGACCAGCCGCCATCTTCTACTTTTTCGTTCTCCTTTCAAAGCTCGCGCAGTCAAACGAGGTTCGCTCGCCTCTACCTCGTCCTTTTATGCCTTATAGCGCCGCATCGTGGGACCGTTGATGCGCTTTTGTGCCGAACAATTGCCTACTTCGGTGCACTACACTTTTATTACGTAACACCGATGGTCATTGTGCTGGCACGTTACGTTGGCATTCGCGAATCTGATAGATTTCTCTTTTTAAACCTCGCTCCACGTTGTTACTCGTCCTTGTTTACGGTTACAATACGTAGATCACATCCGGCATTAGGAAGTAATCAAATATCTATTTTTAAACGAAAATTGCTCGGTAAACTTTATCATAGTGCATGAGTTATAAACGATAAAAAGGTTTGGTTTATGGAAAGATAAGGATTACGATAAGATAAAATAATCGTTACATATTTACTATATATTACAATTATAACAAAAAAAAAAAAAAAACGAATTTTTATCGCTGTTTTACACGACATTACGATAACCGTGATTGATAATAAGAATTAACAAAGCGGAACTATCGCTAACTCGACTTACGATAGTGGTAAATCTTCATAATTCATCAATTCAGCAATATCGTTGTGCTTTTCTCTTTTCATATACTATTAAATTATATTTTTGATCGTGATCATAAAGTTGAAGCAATCGTGCGTTCTAAAATTCAAAAAAATGCTTGCTACTAAATATACCTGTCTATAAAGCGTTTGAATGACGCGGAAGAGAACTGATCGATATCCAGTGCGAAGTTGGCAACGCATGCGCCTCGATCGCGCTCAGTACCGGGCGACTTCAGGGCAGTCCACAGTGGCACTCAGGCAGCTGGGAGGGGAGGGCTTTTTTGTCAATAAAATTTCATCTGTTATTCTTTTACAAGAGAAATTCCCTTCGATGTAAATAATTGTCGAGCTAATATTCCTTAAGGAATTGGAAAAATATGTAAGTACTTTCATATTCGACGAATTTTATCTTAAAATCGTTACCAGTTTTCTTGACGTACCCTTGAGTGTCAAGTTGTACTTTCTATGGATTCGTTTATCAATTTTAGCTATCGTATCTGAAGGCTACGTTCCTATATGAATTTTTCGTATCGTACTTTCTATTCTGCATCTAATTTTTATCGTCTTTAATTCGTGTTCGTCGGTTTGATAACATAACCTCTAGTCTGTCTTTTTGATACACGTTTTACCGAACGATTTCACCTGTCGTTGTTCCTTTCAATACCATATTTTAAGTAAGGTTTGTTTTATTTGGATAACGGTTGGATTTTTCTTTCTTGCAGTATACAAATTTTCAAGATGTCGACATCTGCGATATATATTTTAGACGTAAAGGGCAAGGTTTTGATCTCACGAAATTATCGTGGAGATATAGAAACAGGTGTCATAGAAAAGTTCATGCCCCTTGTAATGGAGCGCGAAGAAGAAGGCAATCTTACTCCGATTATTCAAACTACAGAATGTACATACGCATATATAAAGTATAATAATCTGTATATTGTTTCAACTACGAAGAAGAATGCAAATATTTCCTTAGTATTTGTATTCTTGCACAAACTGGTGCAAGTGATGCAGGAATATTTTAAGGAATTGGAAGAAGAAAGCATAAGGGACAATTTTGTTGTCATTTATGAGCTTCTAGACGAATTAATAGATTTTGGGTATCCACAAACTACGGATAGTAAAATTTTACAAGAATACATCACGCAAGAAGGGCATAAACTTGAAATTCAACCACGCATTCCTATGGCTGTGACTAATGCAGTATCTTGGAGATCAGAGGGTATAAAATACCGTAAAAATGAAGTGTTCCTAGATGTAATAGAATCTGTGAATCTTCTAGCAAATGCCAATGGAAATGTTCTAAGTTCTGAAATTGTGGGTGCCATAAAAATGAGGGTTTATTTGTCTGGAATGCCAGAATTGAGACTTGGCCTTAATGATAAAGTTTTGTTTGAATCTACAGGACGTGGAAAGTCTAAGTCTGTTGAATTGGAAGACGTGAAATTCCATCAGTGTGTCAGATTGTCCAGATTTGAAAATGACAGAACAATTTCTTTTATTCCTCCTGATGGAGAGTTCGAATTAATGTCATACAGACTAAATACTCATGTGAAACCTTTGATATGGATAGAATCAGTCATAGAACGGCATGCTCATAGTAGAGTGGAGTACATGATAAAAGCTAGATCACAGTTTAAAAGACGTTCTACAGCCAACAACGTAGAAATAGTAATCCCAGTACCAAATGATGCAGACTCTCCCAAATTTAAGACTACTATTGGCAGTGTTAAATATTCACCTGAACAGAGTGCGATAACTTGGTCCATTAAATCATTTCCTGGTGGGAAAGAATATCTGATGAGAGCACACTTTGGTTTACCATCTGTTGTCGGAGAAGATCTAGAAGGAAAGCCACCTATTCAAGTTAAATTTGAAATTCCGTATTTTACAACTTCTGGAATTCAAGTGCGTTATTTAAAAATTATCGAAAAGAGTGGATACCAGGCACTACCATGGGTGAGATATATCACGCAAAATGGAGACTATCAGCTGAGGACAAATTGAGTAAAGACAAGTTAGTGGGAGAAAAAGACATTTTTAACACGTTATACTAATGATAATTCAAGATAAAAAAAAGTGAAAACTAGTCGGTTTGCTACGCTTAGTATGCTTCCGAACATTTACAGTTAACTTCATAGCTATTTTCGGAAACGATCGTGATCCACATGAAAATCGAGGTCCTTTAGAATCTAAAATTTGCGTTTACAGTATTGAGATATAATTTCTCATCATTGGTGTTTATTTCACAAAACTTTTAATATTCTTTGCAGGTTTAATACTTTCCCATATGTTCTAAACGTCAACTCAATAAGCGTTTTAGGAACTTTTACAATTATTTACCTTCGTGATAACATAAGTCGTATAGAAATGCAAAGTACTTAATTTATTAATTTTACGTTTCTTTCGAACCGAATCATATTTTTTATATACAGGGGACGTTATAGTATCCATTGAATAATCCTTTATATTAAAAAAAAAGTTGTAAATATATCGAAAATCATCGTATTTGAATGTTTTCATGGAATTGTTAACGAATTAATAGACATTTTCCTGTACTAATTTAAGCTATAATAGTATTATATCGAAATTACCATTGTATATCAGTATGACAACAGATAATAATATTGTTATTATTGTAAACAATGTATTAGTAACTTAAGACACTCGAAAGATGTATTAAATTTTTAACACAAACTACCTATGCTTTAGTGTCTCGAGAAACCTCTTTTACATTAAGTTTCGAATGCAATTTCTTCTTAAGTTAAAACAGAATTTATCTCATTTCTTTTTCGTTTTTATTTAAAGTAAGCTTCCTTTTAATTACTAGAGATTGTAATTTTTAGAGTGGAAGATGTAAAAAAGTCTGAAATTTTATAAGAATAATAACAGAAGAATCGAAATAAAAAGAATTAGACTTGAAAAAGGAACAACGATATCGAACCGAACGGAACCATTTCTTTCCCCGTCCCATTTCGCGTATCCACCTACCTAATTCAGTCCCGATAAAATCTGTATTCGCGAGGTCTCGAATAAACCTAGGCGTCGAGTTCAGCTGGAAGTCGTTGCAGGCTAAAAGGCTCCCTGGCCATGAAACAGGTATTCGCAGAAAGGGTGTCGCAAATTCGCCCGATAGCTTTCGAGGCAATCGAAGCCGGGTATCGCAAGAAAATTCGCAGTCAGTTTGGATGCTGGTCGAAAAGGCCGGTAAATATTGCGTCGTAGACGTGGAAATCGCACGGAGAGATGGCAGACACGGAAACCCGATTAGACCGAAACGCAGCGGGGCCTTTTTATTCCCGTGGCCGCGACATGGCCAAGCTATGCAAATTTCGATGCTGTGCGCACCGTGTAATAATTTTATGGAAATTGCTGGTCCTGCAAGGAATTTCGAAACGCGACGCGCTGAAGTACGTGTAAGCGTATCGGAGACGATGGAAAAATAAAAAAAAATAATAATAAAAATAATAAAAAGAAGAAAGAGGCCATTACGGTCCGAGTCGGGTCAGCCGGTTCTCCTAAAAGAGGGACTCTTTATATTTATTTCCAGCAATTTTGAAGGATTCTTCTATCTCGTAACTTGGTACCCGTGGCTGGAATGTGAAATTGGTTCCATCGTGGTTTCGTTACACGGTTATGTGTTATGTATTAGCTACGTGCTAGGAACTGATAACGAGGCTCCGTTATCGCGGTTAGATAGAGCGTTCTTGAATAATTTTGTCGTGTTTCATAGAGTTCGATATAGAGATTAGTTTCTACACAGGTCTTGCTGCTGGGACTGTTAAACGCGCGATATTTATGGTAAATGAATAGAGGATCGTGCAAGTACGGAGACATTTTGATAGAAAAATTTTAACGAGCACATTACCGCAAGCTATTTCTTCGTTACTCGCTTCGTTTTGAAAGTTGCTCGTTTTACACTCCTGGCAAAATTATTCCGCGTAGTCTGAACCAAACTAAAAGGGCAGATTAAATTTTGATGGTTTCAGAAGATTTACTAAAATGTCGGGACCCTCGGATTCTTTGTACCTTTGAGACTCGGGGCAAAATATTTCAAAAATATACTTCACAAAGATACGGTCTCTTTGACGTTTACGGGTTCGGAAACAAAAAGAAATTTCAGATTTATTTCATACATCGACGCAACGAATTGTATTTAAATTATATTTAAATTATACTTAAACAGTATTAACGAGAAGCTCTGCCTCGCGAGAATTAAAAAATTCGCTGTACGCGTGTATTTGAAATTACGTTGTATGTAAAGTTACATATAAATTGATACTTGGAAAGGAAGTTCTGCATGTGAAATAAATTCCGAACGAAAAGCCATCGATACGAAATTCATTTTACGAATCCTCCGCGACTAAACTGACTCACATCAAGCCACTTTACACCCCAGACATCTCACCGACGCGATCCAAGCGTAGAGACGTATAACTCTCAGCAAACGTAATAAATATTCCATGGATACGTCAGTTATTTCCCTTTTTTCATCTTTTTTCCACGCCTCGCGTCTGAAATTTATGTGTATCAATTCGCAAAATCGGCCAGCACGTCGAAGGGTATTTACGGTAATACGTTTATCCGAAATTTCCGTCGATGGGATGAGTTCATACACCCACTCTCCTCTCGCGCACGTGAACGCAGCCGTGCACGTGTGTGCACCTGTACACACGTATATCGAAGTCTTCGGGTCGAGATCTGATCAATAAAGGTTAATGTATCCTCCTCAAGTTCTCCGCGGGCAGTAGCAATTTTCAGCTTATCGGATCGCGCGGAGATGCTTGGAAATCTATATATAAATTCTTTATTACACCGGAAGTGTAATTTATAGTTGCCAGCCATTATCGTGGCGTTGAAGGTATCGATGGATGCACGCGTTAGAAATTTCGAAGGCCTTTCTTTCCACCCGCGGTGTCGTTTCCTCGCGAAAAACCGGGGATGGAAGATGCCGATACTCCTTTTGGCCGGTGTAATTAACGAAACCGAAAGCGATCTATCTCGTGTGCGTAGATTCGTGTATTTAAATTCACGTTAGCACAGCGATGCTACCTCTGCTGTACACGCGCTGTTCATATCTTGTACTCTGGGAAAGGTTTGGAAAAAGAAGAGGAAAATCCGACGAGCAATCTGAAACCCATTAAGGATCGCAAATTATTAGAGCGGGATGAGTCTTCCGCTTCCTTCGACTCGTTTTGTTTTGCAAATCGAGGCACAAGTCTCGCGAAATTGTTTTTTCCGCGCGTCCCTGAAGTAGAGAACGAAATGGATAAATCAGTAAAATACTATTTTAAAGAACACTGTATTTCCAGAGTGCGTTCGTTTTATTCGCAAAAGTGTAAATATCCCGAAAAATATTTCGGATAATAAAAAGGATATTTGAAAATATATTTCAGCTGCAGGGTGGCCAAAGAAATATATCACGGTGGAGAGTGCTATGGAGGTCGTATTTAAATGTTTAAATAGGAGCGTATATTTTTTATTTCACATTTTTCCACCGATTAACTGGCGTCGAATTGTTTCAAAATAATGGTTATTTTTTTCTCCATGAATCACAATGAAAATATAAATTCTCAATTTTAATGCGTCATAGTTGTCTGTAGAAATTTTTCCACAGTCGGTAAGTAGTTGGCAGTGTAATTTATCTGTTGTGCATTTTAGCAAGTTTTGCTTTGAAAATTGAATTAAAAATATTACGCAAATTTTTAATTTTTTTCAGTAGCTATTTAAAGTGATCGCAAGATCACAGAATATTACCACAATGATTTATTTTTGATAATAATAATATTGAACGGAAATATTTTTTCGTGTTACAGATATCTGTGAAAATATTTGCACATTTCGGGATAATACAGCGATACTGTAGTGCCGCGAAATTATTCCACGCGATATTCGTCGTGATGTTCAATTTGAAGAATGGAGAGGAGAGAGTTCGACTTTTTCACTTATTTACCGATTTTAGTTTTACGCTTTTCCAATTTCAATTTTCAATTCGTGCATCGTGAACGATATAACAGCGCTATGTAAAATTCGTTAGAAGGATGTTTCTTCCAACAAAATCGGCAGAGAGAGAATTACAACGTTTTCCCGTTATTGTGGGATAACAATATTTCATCATTACCTTGGGCGGATGTTATTTTTGAATAAAGTATGATTTCCTATTGGGGAATTAAAAGTGCACGTTTCGTGGAATGAAATTTATATCCAAGCCAATACGATTATTCGTAAATGTCACGGAGGCGGTTGTGCATCGAAATTAATGTTAGAGAAATACTTTCCAGCTTTTTAAATTATTACAACTCGTTAACGGAATTGAATACGTTCGAATCGGGCAATCCACGGGATGCGCTTTAAACCGATTTTTTGAATTAAGTCCCTTCCGAGGGAGATTAAATCACGCAGAATTTCTATCCAATTGCGTAACAACTCGTTTCAGTTTCATAATTTGCTCATTATAAAATACCCTTTTAATTCGAAATTCCTACTAAAATTACTTGAAATCTGTCTACCTAAAGCGTATACTCCTGTTACAATAAAAATTCTAACTTGCGAGCCACTTTGCCCACTTTCGACCAATTTTAACCAACGGCATTCCATTTACTCTGCAATCGACTAGTCGAAGCTACTATCGACTATTTTCGAATTTCGACGTAACATACGCGTACATCTAGATTACCTCTCCCAAAGGAGAGCCGCAACTTGTCACGCTTATTGGTACAAATTCTACCGTGACTTATTCGATAGTCGAATCAACCTGCGTTTGTTCAGAGACGGAAAAATTTACAGCAACAACTAGTTAAAACGAATCCTAAGCCATAACCGTGATCCACGAGCAAACACAGAGGTAACGCTGCGTAAACCACGATCAAACACTCGAGCCAGACGATTATCGGGATCGGAGCGAAGAAGATGGTCTGGAATTAAGATCGTGCAATCTCTTGATCATCGACGCGTCCCATCCATCGTGTGATCGATCCCGAGGTTGCCTCAATTTCACGGTTCCCCTTTCGTCTGCAACGTTTCGTTAATAGAAAAAGCAAATTCACCGAGGAAATCAGCCTGGAAAGGGGCGGCGAGCGAGCTACGCGTGCAACCCCTCGAGGGAGGCCTCGCGCGAGTCTCCAGGAGCATCGGCCTCTCGATCGGCCTGGATCGTCGTGGGATTCGGTGGAAATTCTGGCGAGGCCGATTTAAAGTTGCATCCGAGATCCTGTCGCGAGATCCACGGCAGACGTCTGGTCGTCTCCGCCGCAGGATATTAAAACTTCGCGGCGAAATATA